TTAGAGATAATGTGGATGAGGGAATAGTTGGGGAAGAGAATCAGTTGAATTGAGAAGCCAATAATCCAGAATTCTCTATTATCTTCAGCTTGATATCCCATATATGGTTGGAAATGCTAATGTTCCCCTGAAGAAATACTATTTAGTATGAACTGCAGTTAAGAATGTATGTAATACTTCCCTACATTGAGTAAAGGACTGGGAGATGATGCATATGGAATCTTGCCTAGCCATCATATGTACTAATTAGAGATCAGCAAGCTTTGCTTAAACTGTTTTATGTCATGAGAAGGTTCAGAGGTGATTGGTATATTGGGAAATGGCTGGTATAAAAATATAGGTATCAATTAAATAGAATTAATGTGTGTAGGAACTATCCTTCATCTCAGGATTGTATGTAATACAGTTTTAGCTTTATCATAAAATTTAATCCTTACCTCTTTGGTATGGGCTGAACAGAATTAAGAATTATCCTTTATTTTTTTTTTTACTCTTGATAAGATATAACAACATGAGTTACCATCAGTCCTGACACCACAGCTGAGGTGCTATCTGGAGCAAGGTTGATTTCCTTTGTCAACGGTCCTGTCTTCTCCTTAGGTGTCACTCGCACTCTGTATCCAGTGAGTTGAACATCAGGTGCTGTCCATTGTACTGTGAAGCTGGTTGGAGAAACCTGAGTGAACTTCAGGTTGGCTGGTGAAGGAATAGCTGTCAAGATGATCATTAGTTAGAGGTTACTTTGCAGAAACCAGGGGACAGGCAGTCATAAGCATTCAAAGAAGCAAAATAGATGGATCTCTGAAAAGTATAAAGCAGCCTTGACATAACAGATCATTCTTGTGAAATTGTTGGGGGTTTTTTTTATCAGAGAAGTATGTGTAAATTTTGTGGATAAGAAAGACCACGAGAAAAAGGCATGTTAGAGCATAAGTGACTTTTCTTTCCATCTTCCCTGAATCTTAACAGCAAGGATAACTGTCAGCTACCGGAAAAAAAGTCTTGGGTGCTGGTCATTGGGTTCTGTTTCTCATAAAGAAGTGTTCGCTCTTAGACAGACCCAATAGGTCCTACAGTCCATGTATCTCTCAAGCCAAACTGATTGAGGGGCACATATTCCCCCCCTTTTTTATTGGTGTGTAAAGATAATAATCAATCAATTGTAGAGTCATTCCCCACACTTCTAAATATATAAGAACATTTAAGGTTTCCATTTCTTATGGAGAGTTCTTGGCTAACTTTGGAGCATTATCTATGGTTCAATCCAAGCTAGTTTGATTGACTTCAGACAGAGGGACTCAGGGGCCAATTCAATACAGCCCAGATTTTCACAACACCTCAAGACCATACCTACAAGCTTTCTCTGTTTCTATGTTCATAAAGCAGAAAGGAACAAATTGTTCATGGAAAACAACCATGTTTCCAATGGCTTCCAGAAAATTTTAATTTTATATGTTTTTATTTTGCATGCATATAATCAATGTTCCTTTAAGGAGATTTAAGTGATCAAACACCCAGCAGATTATTTATTGGGAAAAAAACCCAAAACTTACCCTTGTTGTCTCAGAAAGATGCTGCTGTCAAGTACCATTTTTTTTAAAAAAGAAAACAGTAAGCAGATATGATGCCAGGCCTTTACAAACACAGTGAAGGCAAATCACAAGGAAACATGATTTAGGAAATAATCCACATATTTTAGTTTGAAGCAAAGCACCAATTTCTAGTCTGCTGCTTTTAGCTCCTGGTCTTGTGCACAAGCCATGCATTTCTGAGATTTCCTTGTATTAGGCCTATTTGTCTTTGATCTCACCTAAGCATCCTGGTAGTCCACCATTTCCTCCTCCAAAGAGGAACATTCAATTCCTGTTCTTGCAGGAGGTTTCTCTTTTTTTAAAAATTTATTATTTTTTTTCTAAATTCCTGAGATGGGCACCAGTTATTTACGGCAGTATCTTTCACTTAGCAGGGCATAAAGCCACTGTTCCCATGACCACCTGAGTGGTACAATGAAAGGTATACCTGTGGACTGGGTTCCAATCAGGGGCTGGCTCTCCATATCATCGTGCAAGGCAACAACACTGACTGTGTACTCAGACCCCGGCCTGAGGCCCTGCAGTTCTGCTGTGTCTTCTTCACCATCAGGGGCGGGAAATAGCTCATGGATTCCATCCTCAGGGCTTGAGTAGGTCACCCTATACCTGGAAACTTGCCCCTGTGGGCTTTCCCAAGCAATTTTGATGGAATCGACATCCACATCAGTGAATGCCAGTCCTTTAGGGCGATCAATGTCTGTTAGGCAAATTAACGGTGAGAGGTTATGGGAAAAGCAAGTAGGGAAATAAGCATTTTATAACATGCAAAGCAGTTCTGCAGATACCATTTCCTTTAACAAATTAACTCCAATCAAACAAACCACTATTAATTAAATGGAATATTACTTGACAGTTTCTAAAAAGATTAAATTCTTTTTTTTCTGATTTAAAAATTTTTTAAAAAATTGTTATCCTTTAAAACTAAAACAAAAGCCAGGTGCACATGGATGAGAAACCCAGACACCATGCAAAATGTACCCACAATTGGGATTTTATGTATCTACTTAATTCCAAAGTAATAATTCTTCTTATTTCATTCTTTCGTTTTTTGCAATGTGGTGTTAGTTTTACAGACCAACTTTTTCTGTGCCTTGAGGATGGTAAAGATGATTTCCAAAGTGAGTTTTAGACTCTTACACATACTTCTTCAACACCAGTTCTTCACCCCCTCCTCTATTGGGTGTTTTCAATGACATCATTTAACACATACTTCACATTTTACTACTAAATTTACTACATGTTATTGCTAAATGGAGGGAGGAGCACATAAATTCAATTTTTACCATCCAGACATAGAAAATGAGGTCCTGGCAAAAACAAAAAAAACAAAAAAACAAACAAACAAACATTTTGTAGATTTGCTAAAGCCAAATCATGTTCTGCCAAGGCCATCTGAGCAAAAGGAATCTGAAGCATAGCACCTAAGTGTGGAGGTTTGGCGATGTTTCCCTCACAAGTGTACTACTGCGCCACTGAAAAAGAAAATTGTCTGCTGAGGGATTGGCTGAGGATGTGAACCAGCAGACAGCTTCTAGTAGGAGAAATAGGCACAGGGCTTTTGGATACCTAAAGACAGAATTTTACCTTTGAAACTGAAAAACAAGTAAGATACATACTAGTGACTGCCGTCTGAACCAGAGGCTGACTCTCTCCATTTTGATTCTGAGCATAGATGCTAACCACATACTCTACTGTGGGCTGCAGTCCCTCAATGGTCATTTCTGTTTGATCTGGAAAAAAAATGTTAACATAAGACTCAGACAAAAGTAATGTATTATAAGACATAATGTAAGTGTCTACCCCTGACTGAAAAAGCAAGAGAATCTGTCATCAAAGTGAAAAAAAAGGGAGATAGTTATGGAAAATTGTCCTATGTGGTCCCATCATCCGGTGGGAGTTTGGCACTGTTCATCTAGAACAAGCATTTTTATTTTTTAACCCCATTGAAATATATGTGTGTGTGTGTATATATATATGTATATATATGTATATATATGTATATTATGTATATATATATGTATATATATGTATATATATATGTATATATATACATATATATGTATATATATACATATATATATCTTGTATGTGTAAGTATACATATATCTATAGTATGTGTAAGTATACATATATATGTATGTATGTGTAAGTATACATATATATGTATATTAGAGAATTATGTCTAATAGTTAATTGTTAAACCAGTTGAGGAAGGTGAGAACCCACTTAACTTTTGAATAATGAGTATTGAGCTAACTTTCCAGATGATCTTTTCAGGTCCTGATTTGATATAGCACATAAATTTGTTGAATTGTGTCTGACTTTTTGTGACCCCTTTTAGGGTATTTTTGGTAGATATTAGAATGATTTTCCATTTCCTTCTCCAGCTCATTTTACAGATGAGGAAACTGAGGCAAACAACATTAAGTGACTTGACCAGGTTCACACAGCTAAATGTCTGAGCTGTCTGCGGCCATATTTGAGCTCAGGTCTTCCTGGCTTCAGGGCTAGTGCTCTATCCACTGACCCATCCTAAGAACCTAAGTATAGGGCTGGGATATTGTGGCCAGGGCTGAGAAGCTGGCTAGTCCAAACTAATCAGCATTTTGTACATATTATGTGTTGGAGATACAAAAACGAAAGGCACAGATAAGTCCTTCCCTCCAAAAAACCTTACATTTTATTAGGAGAGGGGCTTATATTTTCCTAAGGAATACTTTGCTTTGCTCTTGGTATGGAGGTCTTGTCAATCCAGTAAGTGTATCTTATACTGTTAAAGATGTTTATATTCCTAAAATGGAATTATCCACATGGAAATAATAATACATATAGCATCCTCACACCATCATTGTAGAGTAGGATGACAAGAAGGATGAACTTTATGCTCATGAACGAGCAAACTCAGTTATATGATAACACACTGCAGTGGGAAAGACACTGGATTTAGAGTCTGAAGATCTAGGTCCATTCCCAGCTATGCTACTGTGTGACCTTGGGTATCACCCCGGTAGGCTTTAGTTTCCTTACCTATAAAATAAGGGGATTGAACAGGATAATCCCTAAAGGTCCCTCCAAGTTTAAATCCTACAATTCTTTGTATCTAGAAAAAAGAGATCGTATTTTTGTATTCTTCAATGTCTACCACAGCCCTTTGTATATGGTAATTGCCCAACAAATGTATGTCCAATTTAATTGAATTAATGACAGTTATTTATTTTAAGAAAATAATGAGTACTGACTGTCCTATCTTTATCTTGCTGTATGAGAAATTGAGACTGCTCTTACCTGGGCCTGTCATTTTTGTTTTAGATGGTCCGGGGCCATTCTTGGGAGCAGTGGTCACTCTGTAACCGGTAACTGGAGAACTTGAAGGCAGCCACCTCACACTGATGCTGTTGTCCTGCACATCAGTCACTTGCATTTGGGATGGCTTATCAATTTCTAGGAAAAAAACAAAAACCAAAGAGAAGTCAAGAAAGCCTGTCAGAGGACCAGGTGAGTTTGTACCTTGGCACCATAATCTTCAGAATGCCCTGATCTAATGATGCTTGCTCAGCTGTGGGTCATTTCCTTTCCTCAGGCCACTTGGAGAAAAAGATAGCAAGAAGTTCCCATTATTTGTGAACAGATGACCTTGGAGTTCAAGAAATCAATGCAATTAAACCAGAATTTTATTTCTGGTAGAAATGTGATCCACACACAAAGCACGTTCAAAACGGTCATTCTGCTGCTTTATTTACATCTACCTTCAACTTCAAGGTACTCATTCCTCCCATCTAATTTTGGTGTCAGTGCTGTTGGGACTATTTATAGATTGGCTTTACTTCTCAAGAAAGGTAGCAGAGAGACTCTTGGTTCAATGGCTTAGGAGAAAATGGGGTCAAAAGAAAAACTGGAATGATCATCAGTAGAAATAAATCTGCCGTAGCCCTAGAATGGTTTGTGCCTACCTGTTCGGTATGAAATGGTCACAGGTTTGCTGCTGGCTGGACTGTCTCCACGACCAGTTACTGCATATACAGTGATGGTATAATCTACTCCAGGCTTAAGGCCAGAGATGGTGGCTGTAGATTTGGTACCAGGCACAGTGAACTCCTGCACAGGGCTATTTCCTCCTGTAGAAACAAAGGACATGTTAGGGGATAAAATATGGCAGATAAATATTTCAAAGAGAGAAAACTGAAGTGTACTTTACTCATTCACTTTGAAAGAGTAGGTAATTATTTTTGTCGTTGTTCAGTCATGTTTCACTCTTCATGACCCCATTTGGAGTTTTCTTAGCAAAGATACTAGAGTGCCATTTCCTTCCACAGCTCATTTTACAGATGAGGAAACTGAGGCAAACAGAGGTTAAGTGACTTGCCCAGAGTCACACAGCAAGTGAGTGTCAGAGGCCAGATTTGAACTCCAGGTCCAGCCTTCTACCTATTGCAACATTTAGCTGCCCAGGTAATTCTAGTTCACTCCAACTAATGCAGAAACTAAGGAAGATGGCAAAGATTTTAAGTTTTACAACTCTAACATTGAGATTGGGTTAGGGAGTGGAAGAGCCTTGGATCATAAGTCTTACCGTAAGTGTGAATGAAGTGGATATTATTTTGTTGTCTTACCTGTTTCACCATAAGTGATTCTATAATATCTGACGGTAACGGCAGGTGCATCCCAACTAATAAGCAGGCTGTTTGGGGTAGTAGCAATAACTTCAAGGTCCCTTGGAACATCAGAAACTGAGAAATAATTGGAAAAAAAGTTCCATTTCCATTAGTTTCAAGTATTACTGAGATTTACCATCATGTAAGTTTGCAAATACTTTAATGACAATCCCAACATAACATTTTTCACAAATCTTACACGTGGATGTATGAGTAAAAATGAATTCAGGGTGAGGTAATCTACTAAAGGTGTGATAAATGAAATGTGTAAACTATCATGGTATTTAAATCTATGAGAAGAACTATTCTTTAGGGCAACTTAAAAAATTTCCCATTCAGACTTCAATTTTGAATAAAACTATTGGTCTTGTTTATATGCATAAATAGCTGCATAAAATTTCATTGGGGTGATACAAACAATTTCCCCTCTCTGCTCTCCATTTCTATGCTTTGTCTGTCAAATAGGCTGAGGCAGATAAGACAAAAACCCACTTCATATAAGACACCACATAATATAGAACAATTCTCTGCATTTACCTACAGTTTGGGAAGTAGCTTACCTGTTGACTGTTGCCCAACCAAAGGGGCGCTTTCTTCTCTGCCATTGACAGATACAATGCTGACCACATACTCTGTGCCTGGATTCAGGTTAGTAAGTGTGATGGAGTTCCTTGAGGGGGGGACACGGTCCTCACGAGGTCTTCCACTAGCATGTTCAGGATGGTGGCGAATCTTGTAGCCAGTGTTGGGGGCTCGTGGAGACATCCAATGGACAGTGAAGGAGTTGGCAGTTATATCAGAAAAGTCAATGCCAGTTGGGGAATCAAGACCTGTTTTTCCACCAAGACAAAGAAAAAACTAAAGAAGGGAAAAGGAGTGCAAAGGGAAAAGCAACCAAGTAACCTCATTAACACAGTAATGATATTCTAGATATGATCTACTGAATTAAAATGATACATCACTCAATCGATCAATGTTTATTAAGCACCTTCCATACGCCAGGGCCTGGTCTAAGTGCTGGAGATACAAAAGGAGACAAAAGACTGTCCCTGCCCTCAAGGAGCTTATAATCTGAAGGGGAGACAACATGGAAATAAATATATATAAAGTGAGCTACATACAGGATACAATTAACACAGGAAAGGCACTAGAACGAAGAGGGATTAGGGAAGGCTTCCTGTAGAAGGTAGACTTTTAGTTGGGACCTAAAGAAAGCCAGGGAAGTCAGTAGTCAGAGTGGAGGAGGGGAGAGCATTTCAGGCACAGGGGACAGCAAGAGAAAATGCCCAAAGCTGAAAGATGGAGTGTCTTGTTCATGGAATAGCCAGATGGTCAGTGTCAAAGGATTGAAGCGTATGCCTGGGGAGTAAGGTAGGAAGGGGTCAGGAGTGGCATGATTGGATCTGTGCTTTAGAGAAATCACTTTAATGGCTGAATGGAGAATGGATCAGAGTGGGGAGAGACTGGAAGAAGGCAAACCCCACCAGTAATTATTGCACTAGTCAAGGTGTAAAGTGATGAGGGTCTGCACTAGAGTGGTGGTACTATCAAAGGAGACAAGGCAGGGGCGGGGGCTGTTGGGGTGGGAGACACTGTTGAAGAGATGTTGCAAAGGTGAAATCAACTGGCTACCTCTTGGATATTGGGTGGGGGGAATGAGAGAGAGTGTGAAGAGTCCAGGATAACATGCAGGTTGCAAGCCTGGAGGGCTGGGAGCATGATGTTGACCTCTACAGTGACAGGGAAGGCAGGAGGAAGGGAAGAGTCTAGGAAGAAAGATGACATGTAATATATAATAAAGAAACTTCAAGGCCTTAGCTCATATACAGGCAACAGTAAAGTAATCCCACCAATGGAATTGTAGATAACTCCAAAATCATTTCCACATATCTTGGGGGTATATTTATTGATTCACGGTTGACTGTAGGTATGTCTGATATGCCAGAAATTCACTTCCAAAAGTAAATATTAAAGTTCTATTGGGAGACACTAATTTAGGAAGAAGAGGTCTTCAGCCTGATGTCTATACTCCTATTCAGTGCAAAAAACCAGTAGAAGAAACATTATATAGTAGAAAGAACACTGGACTTGGCAGACTTGAGTTCTTGTCTTGTCTCTAGATAGCCATGAGGTTTTGATAAGCTTCTTTGCCTCTCAAAGTCTATTTCCTGAGGAACAACTCTAAGATCCCCTATAGTTTTAAAATCCAATGATTTTTTTAGTTCAAAACAGTTGGCAAAGTCTGCCAACTGTTGTTAAGTTCAAGTCTCCAAAACTCTCTGGACTTCAGTTTTCTCATCTATGAAATCAAGGATTGCAGGAAAAGATCTCAGAAGAATCTTTCTAACACCAATAGTCTGTGATTGTATTCACCTGAAATATTTTACCTAAACCAAACTATGTATTGTATTTTGTAATTAAAAGTGATGAAAGAAGAGCTAATATTTAGGAGAAGGGAATACAGTCATTGAACATGATAATGATAAATTGAAGTAAATCCGACCTGCACACAGTTAAAGAAATGTTTAATTTGGTGAAGAGAAGGGTGCTAGATCTTCAGGCAGATGAAGGGAAATAAAGAGCTCATATTTTCACTGAAGAGAGAATAAGAGGGAAAAGATGGATAACAATGGGAGAGAATTAGGTTACTCATTATAAAGAACTTTCTGATAAAGAATTATAAATGCTGATTTGGTCAATAAGAAGGATTGTAAAAGCTTCTTTTCTGGAGATCTTAAGAGAAAAGAGAAGTAATTAGCTTCCTGGAATTGCTTATCTTTGACAGCCCTTTCAGGAGACTTAACTACTCTGAACTTACTCTGTGGGACCAAAGGGATTGAAGAATTATTCAGCAACAAGTCTTTTCTATTCACAGTAGTAATAGTGATAACAACAGCAACAACAAAGTAGTAACAGTAACAAATCAATTGATTGCGCACTTGGCAGGTGCTAACAACCTGGCAAACTGAATGAACTAAATCTTGCCCATATGACCCACCTGTTTTCTGTCTTCCTTTAAGAGGTATGCTCTCATGTTGTTCATACACGCTGGAAACGCTGACCAAATACTCAGTACCAGGAAGGAGATCTGAAGGGCAAAAAAAAAAAAATAATAATTAGCTTTGATTTTGAAAACGATGAAAATGTAAATATCTTAGGAATTCCTTGGACCATTTCAGTGGATGAGAGAGCAATCCCTGACCCATTCTTCCATCTTATACAGACCAAATCAGGTTTTTTAGACATGACATTGGCTTTGGAAGCATTTGGGAGAGGGGAGGCTTATCTCCCCTGGCACCATGTTGTAGCGTATGTGGCCATGCACCATGGGAAGGTAGATCTGTTCCAGCAAAGGCGCAACATCCGTATCACCCAGTAACTAAGCCACGTGAAGACTTTTCAAGAAGAAAGCTGACTCTCAAGGGAGTTAAGACTAACCCCAGACTTGACAGGCTATTGTGATTAGCTTGGGTTTCCCTTTTTTTAGCCACTTCATGGGGAGAGGGGTTGGGTGGTAAAGGAAAGATTCTATATTATACTGAAAACAGGAATAGACTGTAACTGTGTTTTCATTGGCAACTCCTAGATGAATGCACTCTCTTTACCAATGCAGGTTGGCACCTCTCCAACTTATAGTCCTAGAGAGTTGCATAAGGCACTGAGAGGTTCAGTGATTTACCCAGGGTCACTTGGCCAGTATGTGTCAAAGGTGAGACCTGAATCCAGATCCTACTATCTTTGAGGCCAGTTTTATATCCACCGATGATACCTTTTCTGATTTTTGTTTGTTTTTATTTTGAATATATCTAAGTGGGGACTGAGAAATAGGCAGTCTGATCCTGACCTAGATATCTACTCCATTATGACCTTTTACAACATTTTGGGCTAATACATTCTTGGAATAAGGGCCCTGCATGTTATGATAGATACTATATAAGGAGGCAGGAATTCCTGACTCTTGTTACTTACTTGAATTAATACTTTGGGTAAATTATATTCATTTGAACTGAACAATTGTTCAATCAATAAAGTATTTATTTAGGGTCTACTATGAGCCAGTCACTATACTAGACACTACTTATGCAAAGACAAAAATAAAACAGTTCCTACACTTAAGGAGCTTACATTCTACTGGAGAAGACAATATGTTTATGTACATGTATAATATATAAAAAATAAATGGTAGATAATTTTAACGGGGGTCCCTAGTCTCTGAGGGGATCAGGAAAGTCTTCATGTAGGAAGTAATGACTGAGCTGAAATTCTAAGGAAGTTAGTTATGTCTGAAAATGCCTTATACGTGGTTTTTACCAGTTCCCATCCCCAAAGCTGGGTTGACCTCAGTGATTCCTGAGGTCTCTTCCTTCTTTCAGTCTGATGAGTCTATGATTAGCCCTCTTCTATCTACCATTGTTCCATACCTCTAGCCACATATAATATCACTGGCCTCATCTGCAAAATGTGTGCTAATACCATATGTACCTAAAGAAGGTAAGATATCTTGAGGTTTCACCTACTTCTAAGATCTCTGATGGGATTCTGATATGTACCTTTCACTTATTCCAGGTGTTTATTCTGAAGTATCAGTTAGGAAGAGGCCATTTGGCAGTGACGTGTTGGGTTACAAAGTACTTTCAGAGTGTGCTAAAAAGTACCACAACTGAGTACCAGTGGGAGAGGAAAAACCACATACATATGCAA